TACTATATATAAGAAAAAAGCCCGAAAGCTGTCGGATCTTTTGGTATATTTACATTGAACATCAAATGCAGTGATAAGTATAAATAGTGAATAAGACGAACAAGGACTTTTTTAATTCCATGATGTCCATAATGTTGTAACATTTTTTATCTCGCATATATCTTGGCTTAGGTAAATGATAAAACCTTGAATTTTTTTTCGAAAGATGTGCCGTGAAAAACTCTACAAAACTTGTATAGACCAAATCCTATAGCGAACCGAAAATGTTCTCGAAATATTTTCTATATGATGGAGAGTGACACTGCCACCCATAAGTTGTTCATTTTGAGTATAAGAAAAATCATCAGAACAGATAAAATGGAATTCGTTCGTATAGCTTTTGTAGAGCTTTTCACGGCACATTTTTGAAAAATAAAATTCAAGGTTTTATTATTTACCTAAGCTGCGATATATATGCGACATAAAAGAATGTTGCAAAATTATGGACACCCGGTTTCGATAATAAAAAAAAATGTTCTTTTTCTTCTAATACACTTCTTATATTTTAAACTGCATCTGATGTTCAACGTAAATATACTAAAAGATGCAGCGCATTCTGCACTGTCTTCCTATATATAGTAGGTTAATAGATAAAAACGTATAGTAATAAAAAACAAAAAAATCGAAGGGTATAATTTTAATTTTCCTCGACTGTATATATACATATTGATCTAATTATATCTTCTTTAGTTCTACTGTCGTGCCTGAACGCGTATACATCCTCTTTTCTAGTATATTCAGCTACATTCGTTTTCTTTCTCTTTATTCATTTATCAATCATGTATGTCCTCTCTCGTATTCTCTAGTGAGTTCTCATCTCTTTATTACATTCTAGTGAATGCTTTCCCTTTCCACTATTTGAAATAATAATATATTGCATAAATGTGATCAGATAACATTTCCTCTCGTTCATAATAGGTTAGTGGTCGACTACTTTCACAATAATGAACAAATAGGAAGTACATTTCTATTGAACCATCATTCAAATATATCGACAATAAAAAATGAGAAATACTCACAATGTCTTAACAGTATTATGAAACTTGAAATCAGATGAATTATCCAGTGATTCATCATCTTCAAGTAGTTCTAGAGTGCGTGTGTGAATATCAATGTTTCTATCCTCTATACCAAAACATTCTCGGCGGACGACAGCCATTCGCACCTACATCCTAGATTTTAACCAGCTACAAAATACGCCTGGTTCAAAAGAGGTTTTTTAAAATATCATGGGTGTTGGTTTTATATTTCCTAGCAGATAAATGTTACGAAAAAGAACTATTGATGGACTGATGATGCATTGTTCTTTGTTCAACAAATCTGTGCTTCATTCTGTTGTTTTTACTATCATGACCATTAGACAGATTCATCATTTCCTTAATCTTTTATTTCATTTTCACTTTCTATATCATCTTTATTTTCTTAATAAATGAAAATATAGCTAACATACTTCTGTTTTTATACAACAAGTAACAAGGAGTAGGATGAATTTGTCAAAAGAATCAGTTCCTGAAAATGTTCCTTTATTGAGATAAGTTATGACTCCAGCCAATGAGCAACACATGAACTCAAACGGAATGAATTAATTGATGAAGCTCATTCATTAGTGTTTTCTTTCTGAATTATACCTGTTATACTGATATTTCCCTATAGATTACAGTACACTAATAAGTCAAATGATGGTATTTTGATCTGATATTTTGCTCTCATATATGTTTCATAGTTATTAAAATATGCGCTACTGGCGTTGTTTTGATTTCAAAATGATTCGAAATTTTTGTCATTATAATATATTTGTAGCTGATAACATGTCATCGAAGAATTTGTAAGATAGAGATGATAGCAATTCTGATCATGTAGTAAGAGTCAGTCCGTAATCCTTATGTAAATCATAGTAGTTGCAATGTCTGCTGTTTCTCAATCATTGTGCGGGTCTCCAACGTGTTCTCTAGTAAATGACAGAAAACGCGTGATAAATAATCTGAGTGATGAATTTCACAACACTTGGCGAGATTCAAATAAAAAGCATTGGTACTCATCTATATTTGGCTATAATCATCTCACAATATCGATAAGAATATGACCAGAATCATATGAATCTGATACAATCCACTAATGACTATTGAATTAGAGGAACTGATCCATCTTTATTTTTTTGTTCTTCTGTTATCTAGTCGCAAAATGTCAACTCAACTTCAAACCAACGACCCCAAATCCAGTTGATTATAAGTCTGGTCCACGATCTGTCGCTATCGGTGACTTCAACAACGATACTTGGCTAGATATTGCTATTGCCAATAAAGCTGCTGGCCATATAGCTATATATTTTGGATATGGCAATAGGACTGCGGCAAATCCAGTCACATATCCGACAGGTTCCGGCTCTGCTCCATACATGATCGCCGTTAAGGATTTTAACAATGATGATCGGCTGGATATTGCAGTCGCAAACTTTGGCACAAACAACATCGGTATACTTCTTGGAACCGAAAATGAATCTTTTGCAAGCCAAAAAATGTTTTCAACTGCCTCCTCTCATCCTATTTGGATCCACGTGACTGATCTTAACAATGACACAGCATTAGATATTATCACTGCAAACCACGGTACACACAGTGTAAGTATTTTTTACGGACATGGAAATGGAAGCTTTTCAAAACCAAGCACGTACTCTACGGGCTATGATTCTTTTCCATTTGCAATTGTCAGTGGCGATTTTAACAATGACCAACTGCTGGATCTTGCTATCGCCAATTATGGCACAAACAATATTGGTATACTACTTGGAACTAGTAACAGTACTTTCGCGAATCAAATCACGTTTTCAACTGGTCCGAATTCTCATCCATACTCGCTTGCTGTTGGCCATTTAAACAACGACAACATACTAGATATTGCGGTCACCAACAATGGAAATAACAGTGTAGGTGTTTTTCTGGGTCACGACAATGGAACTTTTATGAGCCAAACGACATATTCTCTCAACGCTACTTCTCCATATTCTATTGGCATTGGTGACTTCAACAAGGACAATCGGATGGATTTAGTCGTCACCAATAATGGCACTGACAATATTGCTGTGCTTCTCGGATATGGCAATGGCACCTTTGTAAACCCGAAAATGTATTCAACTGGATCTTCTTCTTCGATTTACGTTGCCATAGGTGATTTCAACAGAGACGATCGTTTAGATATTTTCGTCATCAATAATGACACGAGCAGCATAGATATCTTACTTGGATATGACGAGTTTTTTCCAAATCAAACTCAATATGCAACTGGCACTTCGTCGGTCTTTGTAGCTATTGGTGATTTTAATAATGACACCGTACTGGACATCGTCGTTACCAATTATGATGAAAACACTGTAAGCATCCTTCTCGGATATAGCAATGGATCTTTTGCAGAACAAGTAAAATATTTCACTGGCACCAAACCATATTGTGTAGCTGTTGGTGATTTTAATAACGACGCCCAACTGGATATTACTGTCAGTAATTATCGGAGTCACAATATAAGTGTATTTCTCGGATATGGAAATGGCTCTTTTGCAAATCAAATGACATATTCGACTGGTGCTTATCCGTATGGTTTAGCTGTCAATGATTTTAACAACGACACTCGACTGGATATTGTCGTCACTAATTATGCTGACAATACTGTAAGCGTACTTCTCGGTTATGGCAATGGCTCTTTTGCAAATCAAGCGACATATTCAGCTGGCATTACTCCATTCCACGTAGCTGTTGGTGATTTTAACAACGATATACGACAGGACATCGTCGTTACTAATGGTGAACACAACACTGTAAGTGTACTTCTAGGATGTGGTAACGGCTCTTTTGCAAATCGAGTAGAATATTCAACTGGCACTAATCCAGGATTTGTAGCTGTGGCTGATTTTAACAATGACAGCTACTTAGATATCGCCGTCACTAATTTGGATGACAATACGATAAGTGTACTTCTCGGATATGGTGATGGGTCTTTTGCAATGCAAATGACATTTTCAACTGGCGACTTGCCATTCGGTTTAGCTGTCGGCAATTTCAATAACGACACCCGACTAGATATTGTTGTAAGTAATTCTGGAAATAATACCATAGGTCTATTCGTTGGATATGGTAATGGCTCCTTTGCAAGTCAAAAGACATATTCCACCGGTGCTTATCCATTCGGTTTAGCTGTCAGTGATTTTAACAACGATACTCGATCGGATATCGTCGTCACTAATTTTAATGATAACACTGTTGGTGTTCTGCTCCGTTATGACAGAGGAGCTATGAAAAACGAAATTACATTTACTCCCAGCACTGGCGCAAATTTGAGAAGCGTTGTCGTTTCTGATTTCAATAACGATAGTCTATTGGATATTGTCGTTGCTAATTATGGTAGCAATAACCTAGGTGTCAGTGTTGGATATGGAAATGGCACCTTTGGAAATGAAATGGTATTCTCAACAGGATTAAAATCTTATCCTTACTCAATTGCAATTAATGACTTCAATAAAGACGGTCAAGTGGATATTGCAGTAGTCAATCGTGGTACTAAAAGTCTTAGTACATTTCTGGGAAAGGGGAACGGAACGTTTGAAAATCAAGCAAATTATAGCACTAGTTTCGATTTTGCTCCATTGGCTGTTGGTGTTGGTGATTTCAATAGTGATGGACATTCGGAAATTGTTGTTGCATATGATGATACTGATAATTTGGATGTATTTGTTATATATGACATCGGAGATTTTTCTCATCGAACGACATATTCAACTGACCCTTGGCCAAGCTCTGTTGTCTTTGGTGATTTTAATAACGATACTCGACTGGATATGGTTGTCAGTACTAAGAATTACAATAATGTAATTGTATATCTTGGATATGGTAATGGCTCTTTTGCAGATCGAATGACATATTCAGTTGGCAATTACCCAAACTCTGCAGCTGTTGGTGATTTTAATAACGACGACCGACCGGATATCATCGTCACTAATTATGTGGACAACACTGTAAGTGTACTTCTTGGATATGGTAATGGCTCGTTTGCAACACATAAGACATCTTCAGCTGGCTATTATCTAGTTGGTGTAGCGATTGGCGATTTTAACAACGACAGCCGACTGGATATCGTCACTGCTAATATTGATACAAATTCGGTAGCTGTACTTCTGGGATATGGCAATGGCTCTTTTGCAAGTCAAGAGTATTATTCAACTGACTCTTGGTCATTCTCTGTAGCTGTAGGTGATTTTAACAATGATACCCGACTGGATATTGTCGTCGCTAATTTTGATAGCGCGTCTATAAGTATACTTCTAGGATATGGCAATGGCTTCTTTGCAAAACAAGTGAAATACTCCACTGGCACTGCACCAATATGGGTAGTTGTCAGTGATGTTAACAACGACAACCGACTAGATGTCGTCGTCACTAATCGTGACGACAACACTGTAAGTGTACTTCTCGGACATGGTAATGGCTCTTTTGCAAGTCAAACAACATATTCAACTGATATTGGGCCACTCTACGTAGATGTTGGTGATTTAAATAATGATACTCGACTAGACATTGTTACTGCTAATTATCATGACAACACTGTAAGTCTGCTTCTAGGATATGGCAATGGCTTTTTTGCAAATCAAACGACATATTCAATTGGCACTACTCCAATATGTGTAGCTCTTGCTGATTTGAATAATGACGGCCGACTGGATATCGTCTCCCCTAATGATTTCAGTAGAAGTGTAAGTGTACTGCTAGGGTATTCCAATCAAGCTTTTGTAAAACAAACGACACTCATAACTGGCAATGGATCTCGACCAATGTCATTCGCTACTGGGGATTTTAACAGTGATAATAAACTGGATATAGCAGTCGCGAATTCAGGTGCTAACACCATGGGCGTTTTTTTGGGATATGGCAATGGCTCCTTCGCAAATCAAATAGCATTTTCAACTGGCTCTATTCCAATGTCTATTGCTATTGGCGATTTCAACAACGATACCATATTGGATATCGTCGTTGCTAATTATGGCAACGACACGGTTGGAGTATTTTTTGGATACAATAATGGCTCTTTCTCAAGTCAAAAGACGTTTACGACGGGCTCCGCATCTTTACCCTGCATGGTTGCTGTTGGTGATTTCAACAATGACACTTTACTAGACATTATCGTCGCTAATTATGGCACCAACAATGTAGGTGTACTGCTTGGATATGGGGATGGTTCCTTTGCAGATGTAAAGTTCTTTTCGACCGATTATGGATCTCGTCCATTCTCGGTTTCTATTGATGATTTTAACAATGATGGAAAGCTAGATTTCGCAGTCGCTAACAAAGGTGCTGACAATTTAAAAATTTTCTTACAAACTTGTTAATGTTGAAGCTTCTGACTTGCGTTTTTTTTCTTCTATTCACTGTTTCTAACTTCTATTTAGTGCTACTAATATTTCTTGTGAGTTCTTTTTTTTACTAATTATCTCTTGATTTATATATTCATATAAACTATGAGTGAGCGTTGAGAAGTGAAACAAAATGTGATGCGTTCCCATCTTGCTTGACAGTCCCATGAGATAGTTTTGACTTCATATCTTCTTTTTATGTTAATTCACGAAAATAGAATACCGAGACAGTTAATGAGATAGGTATGCGATGAGATGTGTTTGAATAGACATCATGATTTAAATTTATGCGGATGTTATGTACTGAAAAGAGTGATTAGTAATGCAATGAAATAAGCAACAAGAAGATCGTTCGTACACATATGAAACAAGAAAGAAAGTTTGTTTGTTTCTATTCAAAAGAAAAAAGCGAACCAATCTTGAAACGAAATGAGACAGAAAAAACAAAGCGTAACTGTATGATAAATATAAAAATAAAAGAACTACTATGGTCTAGATTTTCTCTCTCCTACAAGAATCATGAGATCACACATAATTCTATATGATTTTGAAAAAACATCAGAATAAGAATATATTCTGTTATATATCCATAAATGAAGTGTATATGATGATAATTTCAATGCATGAAAGTATGAACAGCTGTTGTAGTGAATGCAGAAATTACGATGTCGCTCTTGTAAAGGGATGGGATATGTGGATTGATAAAGAAAAGATCGATATACCTGCACACACAATCACGCCCTACAAGCTAAGTCTCAGAGAGTAATTCATCATTTGCACCAAATATCTATTAAACTCACTACCAGTAATCGACACCAGACACAGACAAACTCACAAGATATTCTCAATGGAACTTATTATTCAACGCTTTGTCATTTATCGATTCAATCAAAGTTCTCTTAGAAAGTTTGATTAAAACGCAAATCTAAAGATTATAATTTCTAGATAAAGTGCTCTTTCGTTCAGAAACGCTGGTACAAGTCGATCTATTGATGATTAATTTGGAATGCGGGTGTGATAAAGGTGCAACAGCGATGGAGATAGCTGTCAATGTTGTCCGTTCACGACCGCTCATCTCAAACTGCATGAAATAGACTCTCAAATATCTTCATCATAAATTCACTATTACGTTTTAATAGTCTAAATATGCCTCTCTTCTTTACACGGATATGGTCTACTGGCTAGATGGAAAGCAAACATAGCATACGTAATTTATCAAAAGGTAAAAGAGATCCCAAACGAAAAAGATCAACTTGATCCATTATTAAAATGAATCGTAGCTCAAATATGAATATTCCTGATTTGTGATATGGAAAATACCAGTGGAGTTGGTAGAATCGAGCGCATCTAGCACATAAAATGAATAACTTCAAGAAACATACGTATAAAACTTGCGAACGTGATTCAATTGAAAAGAAAATTTTTACTTCGAATATTCATCTATTTAAACTCAATTTCTACGTTCCTGTTCATACGATGAGATTCAGTTCTTTCTGCTTACTTCATATCTTGAAGTTGAAATTCAAAAGTCAAACTGCATATTGACATTTAACTTTCAAGTTATTGTTGTCAATCAAGTATTTCATGAAATAAATCCTAATGAGTTCTCGTCTTGTATATTCATCTCTAAATTATTAGTGAATCCACAGCCATCTAAGTCTACATGAAGAATTTGTTTTTTCTCATAACTGAGCATGCAGATGTCAGATGGTCTCACAAACACTGCAAGAGGGTGGGTGTGGGCGAAAAGAAGAAACTCATACCCACACCTACATTTCAGAAGAATTAATTAAAAAAGGATAACTTTTCAATCTAATTTTCAGATTAAATTACTATTTACTCTTATCTAGCATCATCTTGTATTCAAATGTATACTTGTTACAAACCTAAAAATTAAGAAATACTCAATAACTTAACATTTCAAAAGTCTAACCACAAAAGCAAACCCTAAACTTTAAGGTTCTTAAAACTATATAGCTTGAAAATTTCTGATGATTAGCAACGGATACGAATTGTCATATCATCTAAAATCAATCTTAATGATAATATCTAAATGCCTTCCACTTTTAGTGTTTCTATTTTATTCTTCACACATCGACGTAAGTTATGAGCAACACATAACGCAATAAAATCAATACTCAACTGATTCTGCTGCCACTGCAACTTTTATGAAGTGTGTAAGTTAGAACAAACAATCTAATAATAAGATCCTCTTTTTTCTGGAATCCTGAGGCATGTATTATGACAAAAATTTGAAGTCTTCAAGCCAGACAGATCTTAAACAGTATAGTAAAAGTTCTTCTTGATCCAAAATTGAACACTTTTGGTTTCTACAAGATATTGAAACCAAACGGCGTAAAAATAGCTCTTTTTCTAATCCTTTTTTTCGAACATGATAGGTTCGATCAAACGAGAATTTGTGTATCGTATAATAGGTCTTAACAGGGTAGCTTGTTTCTTTTTATATTGCTTGATTCAAATAAGAAAGTTAAACTACTTAGCGTACTCTAAAAAGCGCACATTTTTTGACTATAGACGATTCTGTAAAGAAGTCATAAAAAAAGGTAAAGGTCAGAGTTCCTTCGATAAAGTTGTTTTTCAGTAAAACAAGAAAGTATAGAAAATTTTCCAGTCTTTGAATATGTATAATCTTATAACTTATCGGCCTTTTTTTTTGAGACATCAAAAATGGAGTTTGAATTTCTAAAAAAAGGCTCAC